CATCAAGCCCAACCACTGTGATGTCSAATCATAAGCCCAACACCACCATGCCTTCTAAACCATGTCCCTAAGGGCTTCATCGACACATTTCTTGAGCGCTGCCAGGTATAGTGACTCCATCACATCCCCAAGCGGCCTGTTTCAATGCTTCACCACTCTATCTGTGTAGAAAATTTTCCTAGTGATTCCTTGACATCATGAGCCAAGGGCTGTGCTCTCCTTTGGCACCACACCCACTGGCACTGCTTCCACAGCTTGATTCCAGAAGGCTCTTGGATACCTTTCCTTGATGCCCCTGAAGTCTTCTCACCTTCCAAAGTCACCCTCTCTGTGCTTCTTGCTATGGTAAATACCTAGGTGAAACAGATTTGTCTCTGCCCAGTTTTAGCAAGTGAAAACATCCAAAGCTTTTAGGGAGAAGCTTCTTCACGGGAACTATCCTTGAAGTGAGCAACTCGATGACAACTCTGGTGCTGAATCTTGCCTTGAGGCCCTGCAGTACTTGTCCTCTACCATGCAGATAAATCATGATCTTAAAATCAGTGGCCCCAACACTCAACCTGCCTACATGAACGCTGTAAGAGAGCCAGTATCAGGATCTGCTCTCTGGTCATGGCACCAACAGGCACAGCCACATCCTACATTAACCTCCCTGTCTCCGAGAGAAGGCAGTTGTATCTGAAATGCCTCCTAGGAATGAACCCTGGAGCACGTTAACTCTTGAACCAAACTGAAGGATCACCRGGGTCACTGCTACCTGGTCCAGACATCGAAGCTTATCCTTAGATCCAGCAAAAAAATACAAAATCCAGGGTGGGGTTGTGCTGTGTCCTCCAAGGTGTCCTTTGCGTCACACAGCAGCACACCCTTAGGCACGGCTTAGCTAGAACACAGCACTGCCATCCTTACCAAACTTACTTCTGCTCAACCCCATCCACAGGAGGAAAAAAATAAAAATGAAAATAAAAAAGTCAAGCTTTTGATGTGCTACAAAAAACTCCAGGAATAATTCTCTTTCCTTCACATGCCAACAGAGAAGTCAGGGTTCAGGCAGCATATTTCAGTGTGAGAAGAGAATCTCGTTTATTGCAATATCAGTAAAAGAAAATAAATAAAGGAATTTGCAAAACTTGAGATTACGAACTGCAAAAGCCATGTTTATCCACAAAGTGCACGGAGATGCAGCAGACCAGTTAAAATGATTGCAATGGGACTTACTTTCCATGTGTTTTCTCTGTCCCTCCAGCCACCTCTAGGGCACTTTTGCTTGGTGGCAGAGCAGCCTTTGGACACTATAGGATTTTCCAGGAACTTACAACTGCATGGGACACCCAGGGAAGAGCCCACTTTCTGGGTGAGCATGCGGACAGGAGAACAACGTCACCTCGCTTACGCCTTGCAAAAAGCCCTCAGAACTCAGCAGGGCTCTTCCTAACTGGGTGAAATCCCATTTCTACAGAGAACTCTGCTTCCAGATGGGYTGACACTTCAATCCGCACCTGGAGTACTGTGTTCAGTTCTGGGCACCCCAGTATARGARGGAYGTGGAGCTTCTGGAGAGGGTCCAGAGAAGGGCAACCAGGATGATTAAGGGAATGGAACATCTCTCGTATGAAGAGAGGCTSAGYGAGCTGGGCCTKTTTTCTCTGGAGAAGAGACRGCTCAGAGGGGATATGATTAATRTGTATAAGTTCAGGAAGGGAGAATGCAGGGAGGAAGGGGACARGCTGTTCTCACTGGTGGCCAGCGATAGGACAAGGGGTAATGGCCACAAGCTGAAGCATAAGAAGTTCCGTCTCCAGGTGAGGAGCAACTTCTTTACTGTKAGGGTGACAGAGCAGTGGAACAGGCTGCCCAGGGAGGTTGTGGAGTCTCCTWSTCTGGAGGTCTYCAAAACCCGCCTGGATGCCACCCTGTGCCACATGCTSTAGGTGTGCCTGCTTGAGCAGGAAGGTTGGACTAGATGATCTGTAGAGGTCCCTTCCAACCTTRAATATTCTGTGAATCTGTGAATCCTCTGCCATGTCCCACGTCGAGCTTCAACCTCCRGAGGGCCACGGTGCTCCAGAGGTTAATTTTCACACTGCGGGCTGCAGAAAGGGCAGAGTTGACTCACGCCCCGATGCTCCGGACCCGAGGTGCGTCACCGGGCCCCGCTGCGCGGTCGCGCAGCCCCGGTCGGAGCAGCACGGTGCCCGTTTACCGCAGTTCCTGCGTCCCCGTCGCAGCCCCRTGCCCTGAGCTCGCGGCGAGCGCCGTGCCGAGCTGTGTCATCYGGCTCCGAAACGCCTGTAAATCCTTCCCCGTGACGGAGGCTGAGTCACTTCTCCTCTCCGTGTCCACGGCACAGGATCCATTAACCTTTGCTGTGGCTCCTCCTGCTTAAGAGGGGTGACAGTGAAAGCGCTTCATAGGAAGTGGTTTTGAAAAGGCCCTGTGCTGCTCTACATAAGATGAGAGTTTGCCACAGAGAAGGGGAGGGAAAGAAAAGAATTCAAGCATGTTCAGCATCTTATGGATTAATCCCAGGCCTTGAGCCAGGATAATTACTGCCAGAAGGAATAAAAGTAACATAAATATAGGTTAACATACAAAGGATCCGGTTTGCAAGGTTTTATACATCACCAGCTCAAAAGCGGATTTGTAAATTTAATTATAGAAAGATTATAAAAGCAGGTAATACCCAAAGGGGCATAAAAATAATTTTACTACGGTGATGAGAACAAAACAAAATAACCTAAACATTTTAAATAAACGAGGCCAGCTGATAGACCTGGGTATTTAAGGAGTTCTGTGGGATTCCGTCTGGACCCTTCACCAGGGATGTGCACTCAGTGTCTTGCTAAATCCTCCGTGATCTGCAAGAAAAGCCACTTCCAAGGGAGAAAACCTAAGTCGTTCTGACAGCCCTGCAATCTTGCACTGCTAATTTCCTTAAAAGTCTCTTACTTCTTCATGGAAGATATTCCCAAGGTAGCAAGAGCTACATAAGAAGGTCTTATGGTCAAAGCCACGTGGAAATGGAAGAGGGTGCTTCCCAAACCACTTCTTTCTGCGGGTTCATTCCTTAACACTCAGCTTCTCATCAGGTTTAACAGCATTTCCCTGCTAACAGCAGCTCGAGGGGAGGAATATATTGCATTAGATGTCATCGGGTCTGATTTGGGTGCTGCAATGGTGCTGAGCAAGCTGCTAACAGAGAATAAACAGGGCAATAATATAGGCAATTTTGTTCTGAAAAGTAAGAATATACATTGCTGTTGAGCGCAGACCAAGAGTGTGCCTTTCGCACTGCTAAAAATTGTCTGAAATGCACATATATCTCCGTGTCTACACACACTAATTTACTGTAATAGAGTTAATCCTTTAGCATCATCTGCAAAAAAATAAAGCCACCAGCATACACAGCAAAATATTTAGGTTAGCTATTATATTCTTCCTTTACCCTATTTCTGCTTGCCCTCTCTCCTGTCTTAAAAGAAGCTGCAGGATTTTCCTTTTCAGGGCTGTTTGCATCAAGGAAAAATGAAATACACTGAAAGGTCTGAATAAAGGCTGAAGACACCAGGCAGGGTTCTTGGATGTGCCAGGCACACCAGTAATGCAAACACACCCCTAGCAGCTCAGAATTATAACTTTTTATCTGCAAAGTGCATTTTTTCTATGAACTGCATTTGGGACCTACCTTCTACTCAAAAAGTCTATTCCTGAAATATCCCCAAGGTGGATCTGGGTTCTTCCTTAACACGGTGCTGAACAAGCTTTTGCCAATCCAGCAAAACACGCTGTCATTTTTAACTGCTTTCCTTGTGTACTTAAAATAGATGATGTGGTTTCCTGCTTTGCTACCCCAACGCCCGGTGTGTGCGAGGAGCTAGCGCTCCGGCCACGCTGCCAACGCTTAATGCATGTAAAAAGGGACATCAAAGGAGCACAGAGGAGCACTCTGGAAGCCTGAAAATACCGATTTATTAGAAAGAAAACTTTGGGTTTTACAAATGCAAYATGCTCAAAATGAAAGCTCGGCGCTGACCACTTAGATCTCCAAGTTAGTTTTGGAAAATGTGACCCTCCCCACTGCAAATCCAAATAAATATATATTTAAATAAATAAATAAAGTCTATTTAAATTTTAATTATAGTATATTTAAATAAATATACATGCAAATCCAAATAAATATATACAGCTTTGCGAAGCATGTAGTAGGAGCACAAAACATCCTGATAATGATCCATATGCCTTCAAAAGCCATATACCACAACGCAGTGACATTATGCATGTGGCGCTGGAGGAAATGGGAAGCAGCAGTGGAAACACAAGCTGAATCTCAGTGCCAGGAAAGTACCTTTAAATTTGAGGCTGCAAGTGCTTTCCAGAAGAAGTTGTGGGACGTGCAGCTCCCGGAGATGTATAAAAGTGGATTAGATATAAACTGCAAAAAGTGGTACACTGTGGAATAATCCTATAGCGGCAGAAAGGGATCAAAGATAATTTCAACCTCTGATTTGTTTAATCTTCTGCTGCGATTTTTGAACTCTAGTTACACACCAGGCACCTCTCGCCCATAACAGAGCAAGTTCAGCACCTCAGAAGGCAGCAGTTTTCAACGGGCTCTTATGAAAGAATTGTGGACAGGGAAAAAAAAAAAACATGGATTTGCCCAACTTGTAGCTGTCAGAGTGTCACCGTTCACATGGGATCACGTTTGATCAGGACACATCAAAGATTTGCTGACAAAGAGGCATTTACTGCTGCAACCAGAACCACTGTTTCAGGCTGGTCTGCTAAGCACAGATTTACTGGATATCCCTACAGTATTGTGCACGTTTACACAGCTCACCTGGATCTGCTAGGCTGATTTAGACTAATAATTACATTAACTTATAAAAAAAAGTCTCTCTCCAAGTACTGAAACATCTCACCACTCATAAAAAAAACCCTTTCAGACCTAAAAAGAAAAAAAAAAACAAATAACGACACTGAAATATTAACTAACCACCACCACCAAGGGAAAAAATAAACCATAAAAAATTCAAATCTACAGACCCTGAAATTCTTCACAAAAGTTTCTTTCCAAGTTCACAGAGAAATATTTTCACCCTGTGAACCCATGATCCTATTTCCTAGGGGAGGAGGAAGAGGCAAGGAAAATTCAACTGAAATGTAGGAAGAAAGTATTTCCTTGACAGAACAAAACCAGGGGAATTCTCTCCTCTGGGTCTGGCTTTTTGCTGAGATTCACCAATTTAAAATGAGACATCMCCCAAAAGAAAAAGGAGTCTCACATTTTTCAGCAAGGACACAAGGACTGTGGTGGCTGGAACCTCAGCTCGTTTGCAGCTTCTCTTTGGGATTTATGGGGTGGCATATTTCTGGGAAATGTGCACCCTAAGCCAGCAGTACAGACCTCCTCCATTTACAGTAGTGGAACATTCAGTCATGAAGCCTCAAGAAGAGGCCACCGGCAGAAGTCTTTCCATTAATTTCAATGAAAAGAGGGTTTTATACTCTTTTTCCCCTTCCTTTATACTCTTTTTCCCCTTCCTTTCCACCCTGTATTCGCTACAGAATGTGCTCCCGGGGTTCCTGGATGACTCTAAACAGCATCTTGAAGCCAGCAGCTGGTTTCAAGCCTGCTCTGTTTGTGGCCATTTAACCCGATGGCAGTGAAGCTGCATGGTAACACAGCTACTTTCCAAGGCTCCCATCCCAAAGCATGGCGTGCTGCTGTAGACACTGCATGAGGCTTTCCAGGGCTGGGGATCCACGAGGAAATTCCAATCTGTCTGTCTGGCTTTTGTGAGGATGGCTTTGTATGAAAGAAAAAAAGAAAATAAAAAGGAATTAATCACCTACTGCGACAGTCAGAGGTCTTCTTCAGCAAAGGCAGGATGCCAGCAGATAGCTCTGATTAAAGCAAATATTTACACAGATCCCCCAGCTACAAATGTAGACGCTGCTGCATTGGGATCAGCCCAGCGACGTGTCTAGGCTTGGCCTGGCAAAGCAGGGCCAGCTCTCCAGCCTTCAGTGGGTTACCTCTGCTTGCACGTACTCACAAAGAGAAATGCAGAAGGTGCAAGAGTGCATTTAGAGAACTGCTCCCGCTGAGTTTATCTCACCAAACTTCAGCTGTCAGAAAACGGGGTATCTGGTCAAAGTGAGGGTCAATGGAGAGCTGGGACAGCTGCGTTTGTGCCAGGGCAGCTTGGCAAGGCTCGACTTGGAGACGAGTGAAGTTGTTGAAAAAAATCCCAGCAAGGTAACTAGTCACATCAAAGACTACAAAGAAAACATATGACTGATTAAAGGGTCATGGATGCAAATAAATTAGTATAACTAGACTTTCTAGTAGGATATGAAGGGAGAGATGTAACTCCGCTGGAGAAATTCCTCCATGGTGTAAGTGTTAGCTGTCCTGGTAAAATGGCATTGCTAGCTAAGAAAACCAGAAAGACTCCAAGAGAAATGTTCTGCTTTCAAGCATAAATCAAGCCTCACACTCTCATCTAAAAATATCCCACTGGACAAAAGGCACAAAATGTATATAAAGGCTAGGTCATGTCAAATAATGATTAGACATGAGCAGATACATTTATATCATACACATATCTTTGATCTATTAAATATTAATTTAAATGGACACATACTTAAAAGTACATATACTTATTATATGGATAAGCACTTTTTGTTAGAAGAGAGCAGCTCCCATCACTGGGTATGAAATGAAGGGTTATAGAGAAGAGGAGAACGACGCATTTCATGCAAGGAGCAGTCCCAGGATGGGGAAAATATATAGCTTTTAAGCTGATAAGTACAGTTTTATTGGATGCACAATAAACTCCTCATATACATATATATGTATTCAATGTGGCCCTTCTAAATTAATTCCTTTTTATAGGACTTCTGTTAATCYTGACTCTTGAATACACGCTATCAAATTATTACACGTTGCTGTCCTTCATAATCATAAGATTATTCAGTTTAAAGAGATTACGGAGTATCAGGAAATAGTATGTTAAAACATATGTTCCTGGATCTGTTTGAAATGAGTGTCTGGTTTAGCTACCACTCAAACTAGACAGTGTTGGCTCCACGCCGTCTCTCACTTCAAAATGAAGAGAAAACTCTCAAAATCTTCACATACCAAGAGCATCCCGTGCCAAAACACAGCAAATAGTCTCTGCAATAAACCCATCTGTAAAGCACCTCTTTTCCACTTCATTCTGAAGTTCCAGCTTCAAGAAGTACTCAGCTACATCCTTGGGCGTGTATTCAAGTAGTAAATGAAGTCTCAACCTAAGCAGGTGCCTAAGTTCTTTCCTCGAAGCACTAAGGCTGCTGGCATTTTCAGACAGACTTGCCAAATGTCAGTCCATCTTCCTACAAATGTTAATATCGTTCTTAAATGATGTGGATTTTTGCTTTTGGGTTAAGTTTTCCCTGTGCTCCAAAAGCTTTGGATGGGGTTTGGAAGGCACAGTGCTCAGCACCCAAAAGTGCACCCAGCAGAAAAGGAAAGCAGAGTTTAGTAAAGCAGCGTTAGTGGGGTGTGAAGACCAAGAAATGCAAGAAGAGCAACATGACAGAAGCCTCTTTTTCCTTTTTTCATTACCATTTTGACTGAAGTTTTTCAGAGCGACGGTCTCCTACCGCACCTTCTACGGTGAAATCAGATGATCTCAAAATAACCTCAGTGCAGCCTTAAAGCTTCGTGTCTTTGGCTTAAGCTAAAAATAAAAGATACACATGAATGTTTATGAAATGGCAGACACAAGGAACTGAAAATCATGCTTCATATCAGGATTCGGGATGAACATGAATTGTAAAAATAAAAAAAATAAAAAATAAAAAATAAAATAAAAATAAAATAAAATAAAATAAAATAAAATAAAATAAAATAAAATAAAATAAAATAAAATAAAATAAAATAAAATAAAATAAAATAAAATAAAATAAAATAACCAAACCAAACTTGAAACAGGGGATACAAATGGATATACCTTAAAATATATACATAGGAACAGTAAATGTGTTAAAACCAAACAATGGAAATACAGGATAAAAGTTTGTGTTATGCTGTTAATATGTAATAGAAATGACCTGCCTCTTACAGACAAGAAAAATACATTTGCTATATGTATATCAAACACATTGTATGTGTGATGTTGGATAAAGTTCTTTTATCAGCTCCACAGCTGCAATTAAGATCATCTTGGCGCCTGCAGCAGCACTGGGAGGAATTATTAGCGGCTTCTTTATCGCACTGAATTACCTACAGAAGCCGCAGCTTACACATGCAGAGGAATTGCCCCAAAGAAAAGTCACCTTTATTTGCATTGTCCTCAATTTCACGCCCCGACCAGCAACAGGGAACGGACCCGGTGCCACCGACGCCGGCGCTTTCAAGAATCTCCACCGACACGACAAGAGCTAATCCTATTATTTCCTTAACAGCGCCTGAATAGGAATTTTCCAAGTGCTGCTACTTATTGTAAATTTAACCCGTATGTTAATTCTCTTACTGAGATCTCAAGCTGCTTTCTCTAGAATCTGGGATTTAAGGGACTAAAATCCCTTCTATTCAGCCGCACATGTAAGAGACACAAACCTCTCAAAATTAAATAGAAGTTTGCAACCTTTTGCCTTTAAAACATTACCCCTCTTTCCAAGGAGGAAAGCATCTCCYAAGCGAGTTTTCATGCGTAGAATGTAATTTTTTTTCCAGCACATCTCAAATGCAAACGTATGYGAGACTGACAGCACTTTGGGCAGCTGTCTTTAAACAAGAATCCAAATTGCAGAAAGGCATTGCTGAGATCTCCAGGATGATTTTAACAACTTGCTGCATGTCCAACCAAGCAGGGCTCTAGTAAGTGAATTATATCCTATTCTTGCCACACTCCTCCAGCAAACCACAATATTTTGAGATGCTCAAGTGGGCAAGGACTGGGAAAATAAAGAATTCCTAGCAGTGACTTCCCCTTCTGCTCCCATCGTGCTCAGGGGAGTTTTCCTCTCTATAATCAAATACTAAAATATGAAGTGCAGTGAAAACAAACACACTCACACGGTCCACAGCTTCTTGGCAAAGCTGCAATAGCTTTGCCGGGGTATTCAAGAACTTATAGGTAGTATATTAAATATTGATTAAAAACAAYGCCAAATAATTAGGCTGAAATTTTAATATCCGTGCGCATTCCCCTATAATTCATCATGAACGGAGTTCTGCGAGGTTCCACGGGAGGCTCCGGGTTTAGCTTTAATTATGCATTTATGATATAATTCACAAAATTCAGTAATGTGCAGTGAGTTCTCCCAGCCATTCAAGTGAGTAACAAGATTTATCAGCCCGGTTTGTCACACAGCAAACAGGATTCAGAGCAGCTATAGAGACGGGCCATGAAAGACGCACGGAGGGAGGGAAGAACCAGAAGAGGTTTTTATTTCCATGCAATAAGGCTAATAACATGYAAATAATTCCCCATCTTAATGAATACTGCAGATGAATACCGCATTCAAAACTCCAATTGCAGCCTGAAAGCTCAGAGTCAAAGCGCAAATAAAGAGGCTCAGCTGCTGTTATTCTTCCAAACCCTCTTGAAGCCACGAGGTTATGGTTGTAGCAGGAAGAGTCGCCAATTCGGAGCAGCCTGAAGGGTTGCAGACACGTAGTGAAAGGCTTAGGAGGTTCTGTTCTGGGTTTAGAAGTGGTGATGGCTTCAAAACCACCTTAAAAAAGCAGTGTGAATATCAAAATACGCAGGGAACCAGATGCACTTCTAGGAATCTAGATCTGGCTTCCAGATCCAGCTCTTAGGGGCTGTAATTGCCCCAATGTCTTTTTGGATCAGGACTTGCTTGTTCTCCTAAATTCTTCTGGTGGCTTTTTAAACTTGCACCTGTCTTTTGGACTTCTTCCAAAATGTCTGCATGGATTAGAAGTCATCTCACAGACCTTCAATGAACATTTTAATTAACTTTTTTTTTTCCCCGCTATGCTTTTCAAAACCTCTCTCCTTAAGCAGGTATCAACTCCCTCTGAGTATTCAGAATCTGGTGATACCAGGTATTACAAAACCCCATCATAATGCTCTTGCATCCTCTTTACAACTATTTTATCCTCAGGTATCCTCAAACTCAAATATTTAGGACTTCTGGGTCTCCTGCAACTTGCTTGTACAGCAAAACCAACCATGGATGGTGGCGTTCCCTCCTATGTTCTCACTTGAAAACTACTTTTCTCCTCTCCTCTCCTCTCCTCTCCTCTCCTCTCTTTCCATATCTTTTTCCTAAGAGCTCCTCTCCAAAATCGAGAGTGTCCCCACACTCTTATATGACTTCAGCATGACCAATTTCTAGCCCATCAAATATTTTTGGGGCCCCTAAACCCACTGTTTGAGTGTTGAGATGTTGAGCAATTCTCCTCTGGCCCCGGCGCTCTTCAATTTGTTCATCAATGACCTGGATGAGGGCATGGAGTGCACCCTTAGCAAGTTTGCGGATGACACCAAGCTGGGTGGAGTGGCCGACACTCCGGAGGGCTGTGCTGCCATCCAGAGGGACCTGGACAGGCTGGAGAGTTGGGCAGAGAGGAACCTCAGGAGGTTCAATAAGGACAAGTGCAGGGTCCTGCACTGGGGAGGAATAACCCCAGGCATCAGTACAGATTAGGGGTCGACCTGCTGGAAAGCACCTCCACGGAGAGGGACCTGGGAGTCCTGGTTGACACCAAGTTAACCATGAGTGAGCAGTGTGCCCTCGTGGCCAAGAAGGCCAATGGCATCCTGGCCTGCATCAGGAGGAGTGTTGCCAGCAGGTCAAGGGAGGTGATTCTGCCCCTCTCCTCAGCTCTGGTGAGGCCRCACCTGGAGTACTGTGTTCAGTTCTGGGCACCCCAGTATAGGARGGACGTGGAGCTTCTGGAGAGGGTCCAGAGAAGGGCAACCAGGATGATTAAGGGAATGGAACATCTCTCGTATGAAGAGAGGCTGAGTGAGCTGGGCCTGTTTTCTCTGGAGAAGAGACGGCTCAGAGGGGATATGATTAATRTGTATAAGTTCAGGAAGGGAGAATGCAGGGAGGAAGGGGACAGGCTGTTCTCACTGGTGGCCAGCGATAGGACGAGGGGTAATGGCCACAAGCTGAAGCAYARGAAGTTCCGTCTCCAGGTGAGGAGCAACTTCTTTACTGTTAGGGTGACAGAGCAGTGGAACAGGCTGCCCAGGGAGGTTGTGGAGTCTCCTTGTCTGGAGGTCTCCAAAACCCGCCTGGATGCCACCCTGTGCCACATGCTCTAGGTGTGCCTGCTTGAGCAGGAAGGTTGGACTAGATGATCTGTAGAGGTCCCTTCCAACCTTGAATATTCTGTGATTCTGTGAAACTCTAACCATCCATATTCCCTATATATTCAACAGACCCAACATCTGCTTTCCCTTGACTATAAAAGGACTCAGGACAACAACCTCAGATGCTGATGTCTGCATCACCTTCATGGCTGAGGTGGGATGTATCCCAYGGAGATTGCACTGAAGCAACAGGCAGACCTGCAGGAAGGACAGGAAGACTGGAAAAAACCTACGGTTCCCCAAATAAGGTGTAAATCTGACTGTCCTCCTAACTCCAGGTCRCTGCCAGGCAACCAAAGGTTGATGTAGTCAAATAGGTCAACYAAAATATTGAGGAAAGACATTTTTTAAGCATGAAGTCAAACTACACTCCATTATTTCTCTTCCACACATGTCACAGGTAATACCAGGGTGAAGGAGCGTGTAGCAGCTTCACTTGGATGCCAAAAATTGAGGCAGTCAAGTTAAAAAAAAAAAAAAAAAAAAACAGTTTTCTCAGGAAAAGCCTGACACGGAGAGAGACACAACACTGCTAACCAGGGCAGTGTGAAATCCATCACACGCCGATTTCTTATGACCTGTGAAGCCCTTGATCCTTGCCAAGATCTAAGCACACAGAAGAAAACAAGTGGCAATGGTATTTGGAGCAAGTTTGGAAAGTGCCATTTCAACTGCTGATGGCTTATAGAAAACAAATAAAATAAAGCAGCATGATAAAGAAGCAACCAGAAAAGCACACGATATCCACCAACCCAGACTGGGGCTTCAAAAATAAGATTTCAAGTATAATCCATGCTCTTCTTTCTTCTCCTAGTGTGAACAGTCACATTAGAGGGATGTTATTCTACTGCTTTCTTCTAGGTAAGAAAAATGCTGCATGAGAAATCAGGTAAGACATTAATGCAACTGGACTTAACCCGAATATTACAAACCCAGGCACTGMCACTTCTAATAAAAGTCTGAGACAGCTTACTGGTAAATTTGGGTTAGAAACAAAGCATGTCAGGGAAAACGGACAAACCAATTCATCTGTAACACTACCCTCAAACCTGCGAGTTCATGGGAGAGCCCTTTGAAACTCTGTATTAAATTTACACAGGATAAAATTAGGAGAAAATTCAGTGCTACTGTTCATATTACAGCATCTTCTGGAGTATGATTCATCAGTAGAACTATGTGGTCCTAAATAGTCTTCAAACACAGTGAAAAAAACAGGGACAAAATGAGGAAATTGAGGTATGGGCGCATAAGGGATGTCCAACATCTCGTATCTTCTAAATCCAAGCAATGTCTCAAGTTGTTTTTGTTGTTGCTGGGTTTCTTTGGTCATTATGAGGATTCAGAATACCTCAATCCATCCAT